AATAAGAAATAAGAACTAGAGAGAAATTATGTTTCAAAACTTTTACATCTGTCATTAAAGTCTAGACTCATTAGCTGTTTTTTGTTTTGTTTTGTTTTGTTTTGTTTTTGAGACAGAGTCTCACACTGTCACCCAGGCTGTAGTACAGTGACGCTATCTCAGCTCACTGCAATCTCCGCCTCCTGGGTTCAAGCAATTCTCCTGCCTCAGCCCCCCGAGTAGCTGGGACTACAGGCATGCACCACCATGCCCAGCTAATTTTTTTGTATTTTTAGTACAGACGGAGTTTCACCACGTTGGCCAGAATGGTCTTGATCTCCTGACCTCATGATCCGCCGGCCTCGGCCTCCCAAAGTGCTGGGATTACAGACATGAGACACGGTGCCTGGCCGACTCATTAGCTGTTTTTAAGTTTTTGCCTACACTTTAAATTAACCCTGCTTATTCCTGTAAGCCAACCAGGGAAATCTGGCTGCAGCTCAGAAGGAACAAGAGGGATGGCTGATGTAAAAGTCTGGATCAGTATTCTAGTTCTGAACAATTATGCTGCAGATCCTACCAGGTAACAGGAATAAATAGGATGCCCATAACTCAGAGGCTTCCTTTTTGGGAAAATAAGACCAAGGGAGCTGACCAAAGCCAAGGCTCATACACCCAAATCTTAGCAAGCATAGCCACCAAGTTACCTGGGCATGTCACACAAGACATCTTTTTCTCTCCCTTGTTGGAGGAAGGCTCAATCCCACAGCTTTGCCCTAGCATTCAGCTTATGATGAAGAGTCCATGCAAACCCCCAAGAAACTTTTTGTCCCAAACTCAATTTCAAGCTTCCGGACAAACCCCTAGAAAGAAAACTGGATCTGAGGGATCCAGAGGCAGATGATAATGGTTAAAAGGCACAGTGCAGGTGAGCATAACTAATTCCTGCTGATTAAACCAAGCTTCCCATTCCATGGCTAAAGATCATGCTAGCCTCCATGGCATAAATGAGGTCTAGGGAACTGAAAAGCTACTGACAGCAGGGGAGATAGGGCATATGTGGGTAACAGTAGATACTCCCACCCCCTAGGCCCTCCGTTAACATGAGTGAAACCATTTTGACATGGTTTCACTGTCATGGTTGCTGGGACTCGGGGATACAAGGACAGAAGAGAGAATAAGCAACGCCTCACTTTCTCGCCCTCATATAGACCCTGGGTATTTGCTAGGAAGAGAAAGAACCAGGGACGTCCGTTCCCTTCTTTTTAGATAAGTAGCCATCGTCTGCATTCTGTGCCCCTTCTGAACGCATCCTGAACCCTTGGGACTCTGAGGAAAATGCCTTCTTTTTTTCCTTTTTTCTCCTCTGTCCTCTCTTTACCAATAGGTAATTGTGTCTCCATACTACCGGACACTACCCTCAGATGCATCCTCCAAACTGGGAAGGGTTAATTTCCCAAACCTTAGACTGGTTGGCTTAGGACTGGGCTCAGGGGAAGGGAACCCAGAAGGCTGACATGCTGGCAAAAGGACAAAAATGATAAAATGTTTTTTTCACGGGTCAGGCTTTTGGCTTTCCTCTCCTTGTGCAAACCAGTAAAAGGCCTCAGGACATTTTTTTTTTTTTTTTTTTTTTTTTTTTT